AGTCCTGCTCTTCGTGGTCCTCCCAAACTCTTTGGCTGGTTTTATGTGAGACCCATGGATGTGAAAACAAAGCTTGGCATAGAAGAGAAACATAAGAAGTCTTAATGTTTAATATGTGCTCCTTGCCCAGAGGTTGTTAACTGGGCCCCAGTGTTGGAGGCCCTGTGCTGGGGGAGAAGGCTACAGGGAGGGCGCTGGCCTGGCTGAGGTGACACCTGGCTGCCTTGGGGAGGGCTTCGGCTCGTGTGGGGAGAGGCACACACCAGCCCAGTCCCCGTACTGCTCTTACCTCGGTGTTTAGCCACAAGGCATTTGGAACCAGGGACAGTGGCTGCCCTTATCTGGGGCCTTGCCACAGCTCTTAACCAGCCTCCTCTCGGACCTTGAGCGAGTCCTTTCCTGTGGGTTTTTCAGATGCAAACACAGGCCACATTGATTTCCAAGCCCACCATTCTGTCAGCATAGCTCAGTATAGCCACCTCCTATAAAACCTGTACACCCAACGCACAGCCTTGAGTGAATTACTTAGTATTATTGAGCTTAGCACTCCACTCCTAGCATTTTTGAGCCTTGGTTCTCTGGCTGACAAGTGTGCTTTGCTTTTGAGATTTAAATGAGATAATGTGCACAAATCCAAAAAGCAGTATGTTCCTTTCTTTATCTCGTACATTTATGGGGCATCAGAATTCCCTGGGAAACTTGGATGAAGTGCACATGATTCCTCTCGCTCTGCCCCATCTCTGCAATTTGGAATCACTGGGTCCAGAGTGAAGGTGCACAAGCTCTACTTTTCTGGGGTCCTGGGTGGTTGCACCCCAGCAGGCAGTCCCTGCTGAAAGCCCTGGACAAGCCTGTGAACACTTCCTACCACGGCAGGCACGCAGAAATCCGAAGGGCTGGACAGGTGAAAAAGGAAAACGATGCCCAGTGCTTCTGCAGGTCAAGCTGCCCCAGGAAGGCTGCTCAGCGGGCTGGGCGAGGCTTTTGGGAATGGCCAGCCCAGCCCAGGCCAGCCCTGCTGGAAAGTCCAGTGTGGTCAGACCCTGTTTTTCAGCTCCCCACTCCTGTCCCGTGGCTCTGTTTTGACAGGTGCAACCAGGCCTGGCACAGCAGAAATTGCCAGCTCAGCCCTGGTCTGGGTAGAGGAGCTGGAGAAAGGGCAGGAGGATTGCCCAGCCCTGTCCTGCCCTGCGGCAGAGGCGGTAAAGTTGAAATGAGTGGGCGGGACTGGGGTTTTAGAGCTGCTCAGAGGCCAGGCCCAGGCTTGCACCTCCTAGGAAGCCTCGTGCTCTCTCAGGAGACGCAGGAGTGATGTCATCTCTTTGCAAATCCTATGGGGATTAAAATGACCTCACTGGTCAAGTCTGTGTTCCAATCCAGTACTGAAATTCCACCAGTGTCTCCTCCGTTTGGGTTCAGACTTTATTACTCTGGTGCTGGGGAGTTCCAGAAAAGCAACCGAGTGAAGAAGGAGGCAGGGTGCTTGGTGAGAATCACGGGACAGAGGAATGCAGAGTGCCAGGCCTGGTGGAGTCCAGACTTGCCCACTCCCCCTCTTCGCTTTTCTTCTTTTTCTTTTTTTTTCACTCAAATTCTTTCATTGGTACATTTTAGGTATACAATACATTTACATTCATCACTTTTTTCTTTTTCTTTTTTGGCTGTAGTGGGGATTGAACCCAGGGTCCCATGCATGCTAAATAAATGCTCTGTCACTGAGTTACATTCCCAGCCCAATACTTTTTAATTATGTTTATTTTGAGGCAGGATCTGGCTGAGTCGATGAATTTGCCTAGAAGGGGGTCAAACTTGTAATCCTCCTGCCTCAGCCTCCTGGAGTGATAGGATTATAGGGATGAGCAACCACACTCAGCAACAATTTTTAATTGGAGATAGGATGACACTAAGTTGCCCAGGCTAGTCTGAAACTTGTGATTCTCCTGTCTCAGCCTCCCAAGTAGCTGGGTTCTCCCCATTTTCTGATGAAAAAACTGCCGGCCTGTGAAGGCCAGTGCTGAGCTTGTGGTTCTAGAGCAGGGTGGAAGTATGACCTGTCCAGGTTCCACATCCACAGAGAGACCACATCATGGAGCCTGCCCAGTCCCTCACTCTGAGCAAGGTAGTGCCTGTCTCATTAGATGTATGAACATACCGACTCATAGCATCTACTTCCGGCCTCATGGATCTGGCTGCCCACTCCCTAGGCTGCATGGTCAGCTCTTTGAAGTCTCAGCAGAACCTGGAAACATCCAGATGTTCTGTGAAGGTGACATGGGGCAGAGAGGAATGAGGGTTGAGCACTCTATAGTTCTGACCTTGAACCCTGGCTTCCCATTCTAGGTGCACACAAATCCCTCCACCTGGAAGAGAAAGGGGTGGAGCCTGGCCATGCATCTGATCTTTTGGGGCTTCCACAGCCCAGGGAGTCACTTGGGAATTGGAGTGTCTAGGGCTTATGTTCTGGCCACTTCTGTGCTAACGACAGTGGCAGGGCCACTGAGATCCAGGAAGCTTAAGCATCTGTATCACAAGCACCTCTGAAGCAATGCCTGACATTCATGCAGGGTTGACGATCGCCTAGGGCTATGAACTGAACTCTGTACTGGAAGCTTCAACGCCCTGCCCCTGTCTAGAGGTAGGGTCTTTAGGAGGTAAGGTCTTTAGTAGGCATTTAAGATTAAGCAAGGTCGAAGAGTGGGACTGTGGCCTTACAAGAAGAGGGAGCCTTTACCTGTCACCATGTGAGGACAGAGGGAGGTTGTGACAGCCATCTGAAAGCCAGAAAGAGCTGGCACCTTGATTTTGGACTTCCCAGCCCCTAGCACTGTAGAAAATACAATCCTGCTATTCAAGCATGCCGTCTGTGATGATTTGTTATGGCAACCCAAACTGCCCGAGAGCCTGGGGCCCTGGGCAGAGCATCTGCTCAATACCTTTGCTAGAGGAAGAAGAACCACAGAGTGGATAAGCAACAAGGCTGAGCCTCAACCCAGGTAAGTCTAAAACCTCATTCTCTGGAAGACTTTGAGAGGTCATTGAATCCCTCAAAAACTGTAGAGGACGGCTGATAACAGTAAGCACACTATAATTGTAGTGAAGACTGAAAGAGCTCTTCATGAGAAGTGCTCAGACTGCTGTTCTGCCGGATCACAGCTCCTCTGTTGATGTTTGCTGTTATGGTCGTTGTTTTCATCTTATTTCTACAGTGCCCACCAGACTTCATCGCCAGCTCGCCCTTAGCCACTCTGCATCTCTCTTTCACTGTGTGCCACTGCTTTCTCCTTCTTTCCCTATGTGGCTGCAGCTCATTGGATCAGGGCAGACTCCCTGACTCAAGGGGCTCGAAGTGGGATTTCTCACTTCAGAAGGGGAAATTAGCAGCTGAAGAGCCAGGTCCACTGGGTAAGAAGTAGCCCTGGCCTGTGGGCTTTGTGCAAACAGAAGGTGCTGGCCAAGGAAAAGGACAGAGAGAGAGAGGAGAGATTAGTAGGCACCAAGAAATGGAGAGATGAGAGAGCAGCCGTTCTCTGGAGGGAGGAGAGCAATGTCCGATGCCGACAGCTTCCTACCTGGTAGCCATGGATCCAGAAGAACTTGAGATTTGCTAGCCTTGAGTTTTACACTCTTATCAGGAATCCCCCTCCCTTATTTCCTAGAAGAGGCTTCAGGGGACCACTGGTGACTGCATGGGTGAGCTGAATGGTGTCTTCTTTCATCCTGCCTGTGTCCTTAAATCAAGTGGATCTCTCAAACCACAGGGCCAGGGACTAGTTTGTGGCAGTTGTCCAGGCCCTGTGCATTTTCCTTATGACTTTGCTCTTATGTTCTCAAATCCATTGCCTTTGACCCTTGTGGCCTTGTCTCTCATTCTGGACTCAAACTCGTCCCTTAGGATTGTTCCAGATCTGGCTTTTCTGGAGTTGGGTTCAGGACACTGGCTGGCCTTCAAGCTCAGGCTCTGCCTCCCCAGCTCCCTACCCAACCCCCACAGCCAGTAGTTCCAGCTCCTTGGAGACTTGTGTGGGGCCTCAAACTGTGAGCTGCCTCCACCAGCCAGCTCTGTCTGTCATTCTTGTGCTGCCACCTGAGTGTCACTTTCTCAGACCTGTGTAGCATCACCTGCCAGACTTGTGCCTGGGGATGTCTTCCTCTCTGCCCTGGCCCGTTCTGCTCATGGCCCTAAGCAGACAGGTGGCTTTTATTGCATGCTTCTCTCCTCTAAGAGAGGTGACCAGTGTCGCCTTTGTCCTCACTCACCCTGTGACCCCCCCATAGAACCTATCTCAGTGACCCATGCATCTCAGGTGCCGGCAGGGAGAAGGACCTCATGCCACACAGATGTTGAGGAAGTGGCAAGGCCCATAGGCAGTGGCCCCACCCTTGTGCTTCCACCTCTCTGCTTCCTCTACTAAACACCACCACCCCCTCAAAACAAAGAAAAAGCAAACCAATGCTTCCAGGCCACCAATGCAGTAGGCCATATTTTACTAGCAAGCAAGGTTACTACCCCTTAAAAGAGCAGGTCCTGGGAGAATCCCAGGAGACCCACATGGCCTCCCCATCCCTGCAGACCCTGTGATCCCAGGCCCCTTGGGGCAGGTCTGGCCTGGTTGCCTCCTCCTTTCCTGATCTATCTCTGTGTCTTACAAAGAGGAAGCAAGAGATATCCCTGCAGGGTCCACCCTTGTCCTATTTTTCAATCTTGTTTGGCCAAAGAACTGCAAGGCCACACTGCAAGAGTCACAGACCCCACTGCTCCTGGTGGGACCCAGTCTTCTGGGGTAATTCCCTTCGAAGTGCTCAGTCCCTGGATCCTCTGTAAATCACTGGGAACTCTAGCAGAGCTCAGTGTTTCTAGAATGAGGGGCTGGGGGCTGAGATCCAGAATCCACAGTGGGACTCTTCTGACTCATTTGTTTCCCTTCAAAGGTCGACCTGAAGCAGGGCCTCCAAGTCATCAGCACCCCAGCTTGGTCAGAAAGCAGTAGAAGATACCTCCATCCTGGAAACAGCTCTTTACTGGGTCAGCAACATTATGTGGCATGATATTATCATATGTAGACAAACAGGAGAATTACATGGCAGAGGGTGGGCATGGAGTGCAAACCAGTTGCACATCTACGACAACTACGAAGGTGGCACAGGCTTGGCCAGGAAGAGGGCAGGTCCCCAAGGCAGTGTTGGGGAAGGGACCACCCCATGCTCTACACTGCAGTGTCTGAATCTACCTGAACGTAAAGGTAGACAGCTTTCCAGTGAGGTCGGCCCAGGAAGACCCACTTCCTGCCTGGTAACTTCCCAGGATCCCTTTCTGCCAGTGTACACTGGAAGTTGATGGGGGGTAGGAAGTGACCCCAAAGGAGCTTCCTGCAGAAGATGTCCAGGCTCTCCCCATGCCTACCCAGGTTGCTTCTCATGTGCAGAGGGCTTGGCCATTTTGGGTGGCAGTGGGGCAAGGTCTCCGCATGGCTATGGGTTAGGACAGTGGGTGCAGGAGGCCCCTGTTTTTCAGAGGTGGCCCTTGTGGCTCTAGTCCTCCCTGGTCACCAAAGAGGATCTCGGCTTGGAACAAAGTATGCCAACTTCAGGGGCAGCTTTCATGCCCGCCTCTGCTCCTGCCTTTGCCTCCTGCTGCCACCTCTGTAGCCTTCCTGGGTCCCAGGTAGCACTTAGGTGGAATGTTCCAGGGCCTGCAGCATCTCTGCTTGCAGATGCAACTCCTGCTTGGATTCCTTCCGAGATGGTCCTGAGGTGCAGAGGCAAGATTTAAGTGGGGAATGCTTTGAAAGAAAATGTTGAATTTGTCAGGAGTACCGTGTGCAGAATCTGAGAATGCCAGCCGGGGCAGAGTCCCACTGTCCTGTGTGAGGCTGGGGCAGCTCGGTTCCCATGACGACACAGAGGGCTTGCTGTTGCCATGCCCACCTTGTCCCTGGAATTTCAACTACAATGCCCTGCAAAGGTTTCCCTGGGTCTTTTCCTTTGTTCTTTTAGGGTGCTAGGGATGGAACCAGGGTCTCCCACATGCTAGGCAAGTGCTTTACCTCTGAGCTACACCCCCAGATCTCTCTGGGTCTTCTCAACCAGGGGAAGCTCTGGGAAACTGCCAGCCAGCAAGGGTGCGAAGACACTGCAAAGACGGGAGCTGGTCATCACCTAGAGACAGATTCAAGACCTTCTTCTCGAGGTGGCCACCTCCCTGGCTGGCTCAGTCACAGGAGAGGGGAGGTCTTCTTCCCTCTCCTCCTACACAACCAGGGAGACCCAGTGGTCCCCCTGGCCAGCAGGGAAGTGTGCGTTTGTGTGCGTGCGTGCGCGTGCGTGCGTGCGTGCGTGTGTGTGTGTGTGTGTGTGTGTGTGTGTGTAGAGGCAGCTTTCCTGTAGTGCAGTCACCACTGGGGATACCAAAGCTGCAGGGTCAGCTCTGAGGAACACCCCACGTTGTAATCAAAGGACTGCGATTGTCTGTAGGTGAAGCTTTCGAGCTTTTCTGAGTTCCCTTGCTTTTCTGTGTGGCAGTGTCTGGACCAGGGACTCTTCTCAGTAGGGGCCCTGGCTTCCGGATGGGCCCGGGGGCCCAGGCAGGCCAGGGGGACCCTGGATCCCCGGTTCACCCTTAGGCCCCGTGGCCCCCTGCTGGCCTGGTGACCCTGTCTTCCCTGCAATCCCTGGCTTTCCCTGAGGCCCTGAGGGACCTGGAGACCCGGGCGGCCCCTCTGGCCCTGGGGGCCCCACATCTCCTTTGGGGCCTGGCTGTCCTCTCAGCCCTCCAGTGCCAAAGCTGCCCTTTGAGCCTTTGAGGCCTGGGAAACCTCGTGGGCCAACTGGTCCCCTTTCGCCCACTGGTCCGGGCTCCCCAGGTTGCCCCTGAGGACCCTGGGGTCCAGGTGGCCCCAAGCTTCCAGGGTCTCCTTTGGGTCCTTTGCCGCCCACAGGTCCTTTTATGCCTGAGTCTCCTTTGAGTCCTCTTGGTCCTGGAAGCCCAGGGGCACCTGGAGCGGAAGAGAAGAGGGGACAGGTCAATTATGAGGGGCACAGTGACAGCCCAGGGTCAGATACAGCCCAGCCCAAGGTGCCACCTCTGGGCCATGCAGGCTGATGGTTTTACCACGGGTGAAGTGAGGAAAAGAACAGCAGATTCTGTGTGACAACATGCACCCATGTCTGCAATGAGGCTGCTGCAGGGCCAACATTTGGCATTCTGACTTTGAGGCTCACAGCTCTGAGCGTGCGTACGAGTTAAGGCTGAGCACAGACTGTGCTGGGAGGGAGGTGGAGGTCAGCCAGGACCACCTGTCCTGCTCTGGAAGCCCGGCTGGCCTTCCACACCTCCTCATGGTTCTTGGGCTGCCACACTTGTTCTCTTACCTCTCAGGCACCTGGGAACACGGACAGAGTCAGGGGCCACACAGGAGAAAGCCAAGAAGGTGAGGAATGAGAAGCAGGCATGTCGGAGAGTAAGTGAGACTCGAGCAAGGACCTTGAGAAAGATGGATTCCTCGGGGAAGCCTTCTCTGACCATGCCAGCCTGTTCTCTGGGCTCTTAACACTTCTGGGTCTTTAAGTTTAAATCACAGCTCAGGAAAGCCAGTGCTGTGCCGCCCCAGAAAGACAGAGTGCTGGGCTCACAGTCAGAGAAGCTCAGTATGTCCTTGGAGACCCCTGCTGTGGGCCTGGAACTGGACCGGGCCTAGGGGAGACGCAGTGGAATATGGCCGTCTCTGTGGAGCCCTGACATCACGTCCTTCCCACTGGGCAGGTCTAGAGTCATCACCTCTCAGAGCTGGCCCAGCCCTGATGACACACAGCAGACAGGGGCTGTCACTCTGCCCGGCCATATCAGAATGCCTCAAGACCACAGAGGAGTGCACACATGTCCCGCCCCATGAGGACGGTGGTATGGGGACAGTGGCTTCTGCCATAGCGGGGCCACTGCCCAGTGCAGACCTGGCTTTCCTCAGAGAGCAATGGGTCGAGTTGACCGAAGTTGTCCAGGTGTCTTTGAGGCCTCTCCTTCTGTGTCAAACCCTTTGCAGTGGAATCCTAGGGCTTTGGGGCTCAGTAGGTCTAGTCCAGTTCCTTCACAGAGGAGATGATTCAAGCCCATGGGGGTGAAGTGATATCCCCATGGCTGCCTGAGTGGAAACAGAACCCAGGAGGCCTCTCAGGGGAGTGATGCTCCACACCAGAGCCCAGAGCCCTCCAAGCTGCCAAAAGCTAGTTCTGTGGCATCAGGACCCTTGCTCTGGCTAATGTGACCTGCTGTCTCCACACTTTCTGTCTCCTTCAGTGTTTCTTCACGGAACAGTGTCAGTGAATACGTCCTCTATTATGACCAACCCAGAAACCAGAGCCCAGATGGAGTCAGCCCCACCAGAGCCAGTAAAAACCTTTTGGGCCATTCCCTGCCATGGGGAGGTGGCCCTGTGTGGGCTCACGTGGCATGCCAGCAGAGAGGCAGAATCTGCTGTTGGTCTGGCTGGGGGTAGCCAGTGGCAAGGACAACCTGGCCTTGGAGAAGCCAGAGGCAGGACCTGCCCTGTGGTCCCCAGTGAGCCCCTGGCAGCGAGGGGCAGAAAAACACAGGCACAAGCAGATGCCCTTGCCAGAGCCTCCTCCCCCGGCCTGGCAGGGCTTGCTGGGAACTGGCAAGGCCACAGCATCTGTCTTCATCCTAACTCTGCTCCTGGCACCTGGGTCATCTGAGGTTTGGAAAAACAGAGAATATTCAGAAGCAGAGAGGGCCCAGCAGGCTGTGTGGGTGGTGGAACTGCACTGGGCAATTCCACACCCTGCATCCCAGTGCTCAGAGTTGAGTTGAAAATTGCACTTACTTTGCTTGAGATAGCTGATCGACTTGCGCTTAATACACACAATTAAATGGCACTGAATACAACTGAGAGTCACAGTTATGGTTTCCAAGTACTCCCACAGCTCTCTCTATAGCCCTTCCTACTGCCTGCCTGGCTGGGTGGCTACACGCCCCCTGCCCCTGTCCCTGCTCCTTGGTGGCTTCTGTAGGCCCATCCTCCACCTGCTCTGGGAATGAAGGCTCCGCCAGATCTGATCGTAGCTCCCTGGCTCTCTGCTCTCTCTACTCCTGACCCCTGGGTGGAAGTGGCTGCCATCCCTGACTCCAGCCAAGAAGTTCCCTCTTGACGAGGACACCTGCCTGGCCCTCAAGGCCAGCTGATGTCCCTCACTTCTCCCTGGTACCCTTTCTTTCTGAGGCCACCTTCTTGGGTGACCTCTCCTCCCTGGCCCTGAGGAGCACAGAGTGCTGTGAGGGCTCCTGAGTGTCTCTGCCCCGGTGTCGAAGGAGGAAAAGCAGAGATAAATCTTCCTCCTCCCTGCCAGTCCTCTCTGGCTCCTCTTCCCAGGGCAGCTCTTGGATGGGGAGGACTGGGCACCCACATGCTCCTCCTGCACGTGCAGCAGAAGGCTGGTTCGCTCTGTCCACTTCATTGCCCCAAGCATGTGGAGCGAGGACTTGGAGGGAAAGTTTCCCCATTCCCTACATCCAGCCCCAGCACTGAGAACCAGCAAGGTCCCAGGCAGCAGCCAGGAGGAGATCAAGTGCAGGAAGTTCCAGAAGTCTGTCTGGCTCTCCTGAAGCCTGGGGCTCCCAGCACAGAGGTACCCAGGCCACGAAGCAGACAGGTGCAGCCGGCACGCACGGTGTTGGCGGTGTTGACACACTCTGCACAGCCCTGCTCTCAGTGGCCCTGGCTCCAGGGCTGAGAAGGAAGGGGCCGTGAAAGCAGCCAACATTTGTCAGCTGAGTATCTGCTGTGTCCCTGGCATTAGGGTGTGGTTGCCGCATTTTACATACAGCCAGGCATGGTGCAGAAAGTGGTGACTTGCCCAACGCCCTCCCGGGTCAGCAGTGAGGTCACAGAGGCTCTGAGGTGCAGGCCTCCACCCGGAGCACACTGAGGCAGGGTCTCTGGGCCTCCCAGCCAGAGCCTGCAGTCTGGGTGCTGCCTGGAGCGGGGAGAGGCCCTGGGGCCCTTCTCTGAGGTGCTGAGTGTCCCTACAGAGCGGGAGGTGTCCTCAGTGGCTCCTTCCTCAGGTGAACAGAGCAGCCCCGCTCTTGGGCCAGCCTTGAGTCATGAGAATTAGGAGCGTGGCCACTGGCTATCTGAGGACAAAGTCAGTCGCTCACAGTTAGCACAAGGACAATGGCCTGAGGCTGGCCGAGGCCTTAGCCAGGGATAAGATGGTAAGGACAGGGCTGAGGGGCAGAGGGGAGGCTCAGGGCTGCTAGGTACAGAGGGACACCTTTCAGGCCAAGGACAAAACTCCAGCCGTGGGGGCTGACCACGTGACAGCTGGGGAGGGAGTGGGCTCCCTGGGTCCCAAGGCGGCCCATGATTACGCAGGAAGCCACAGGCTATAATTAGGACTTCAGGCCCATTAGGGCCCAGCCACAGCTGACTGCATGTCTGAGATAAGCAGGGTGGGTGGGTCTGTGGTCTGCACTGGGCTGGGGAGGGGTCGGGTGGCCAGAAGGAGCCAGGGTCTCAGGATACCAGTCTGTCCACCCATGGGTGGGCTGGGGCATGGGCAGGAGGGGCCACAGTGCCACTCAGGGTCAGAGGCAACCAGCCAGCTCACAGGGGTAGGAGGAGCCAGACAGGGAAGGGGGCCCCCTTGGGGTGCTGGCCCCAGAGAAGGTGTCCTGGCCTGTATGCCAGGGCCCAGGTAGCAGTGCCAGCTCTGCTGTCAGCATCCTGGGTGGCCAGGCTCAGGTGCCCTGTGTTCCTGGGCCAGGGATTCTCAGTCCTGGCTGTGCTCGCTCAGGAGTACCGAAAAAAATGTCGATGGAGTCGCACTTCTGCCTAGGATGGAGGAGTTGCTAACAGACTGAGCCACCCTCTGAGAGGAACCAGGGCCGCTGGGAGAAAGCCAAGCCATCCGCCCTGGGGCTTGGGAGAGGTCCCAGGAGAGGGGCTCCTTGAAGCCAGCACCAGGCCTGGGCAGGGAGCAAAGCAGGAAGCCAGACAAAGGCTGCAGCCCAGGCTGAGCTGTGAGGAGCTTGCTAGGCAACTTCACAGGGCCAGGGAGACCAAAACAGGCCTCGAGGCTGCACTCCCCCTTCACCGCCCCCAGAGCCCTCCCGCTCTGAACCACAGAAGGATGGGGCAGCTCTGCATGTCCTTTCTTAACAGATCCACTCTGGGTCCCTTTGGGCATGCAAGTGAGATGGAGCTGGTGCTTTTGGAATAAGTTTGCAAATTCGATTCCTCTGTGTCTCTTTTTGGGTCACACCGGGGATTGAACCCATGGAGACGGCACAGGCTTTCTCGAGTAAATAGGGGCAGGGGATTAGAGCAGAAGTAGGTCTCAGAGATCAGTTGGCCTTGCCCCTTCATTTGCAGATGCCAAGGAGTGGAAGTCCAATCATATTACAGTGATCCCTGCTCACCCATGGTTAAAGCAGCACTATTCATGATACTCAGTCTTGGAAGCCACCTTATATTCATCAACAGATGAATGGATAAAGGGAATGTGGTATTTACACAGAGTGGAGTACTACTCTGCCATAAAGAAGGATAGACAAGCCATTTGTAGGAAAATGGATGCATCTTGAGACCATAATATTAAGTGGAATAACCAGCCACACGAGCTTAAATATATGGTTTCTCTTATGTGAGAAACCCAAAATATAAATAAATGAAAGAGCAAAGTAAAAGATAGGTATTAGGAAACAGGGAGATGGATCTTTTTCAAATGAGAAGGGGACGAAGAGATGAAGGGAGGGGGAGAGAGAAGGGGAAGGTGACGTAAAAGAATTAAGCCGTGGCACGTATGTGTACCAATAGCCCACAGTGAATACTGCAAACATGCACAAATTAAAAAACGATACTCTGAGATTTTAAAATACTAAGTAGATTTTTGTTTTTAAACTTAAAAAAAAAAAAAAAGGAGCAGAGGTCCAGAGAGATGAAATGATTTTGCTTAATCACCAGAGCCCCATCCTCACGGCCTGCGCCCTCTGCTCCCCTGCCCAATTCCAGCTGCAGCGCAGCCTGGCCAGAGGGAGACCTGGCCGTGGTTCCAGTGCCACAGCCTCAGCCTGTCTGTGGAGGAGGGAATGAGTGGCCAGGTCCCTGAGGGTGGGATGTGTATGGTGCCCCTGGCATTTCTCAGATAGGAGGTATTTTACATGTGAGCCAGAGGGCTCAGGAACAAAGTGGATGTTGTAGTGGGGTGGAGGTTATGCATGAGCTCAGCAACACGGACCTCCACTCACCAAGGCCAACCTGACTGTGGCCACTGCTACTGCCCAAGCTGCCAGCAGCACAGATAATTCTGAGTCCCTGATATGCCACCATTCCCCAGGATGATCAGCCACTTCCGTGGCAGGAGATTGCACTGGACGACTTTCATCATGGAATGAGCAATGTTTTCTTACCGGAATAGATAGTTGTTCTGGATATGGATTTGTCTTCCTTGCATGCAATGCTTTAGTTAAAACTACTATCCAAAGACTTACACAACTTCTTAGCCCACCATCATGGTATTCGCACAGCATTGCTTCTGACCAAGGAACTCCCTTCACAGTAAATGAATAGTGGAAATGGGCTAATGCTCATAGAATTTACCAGTCTTACCATGTCTCTCCTCATCCTGAAGTAAATGGTTTCATGGAACAATAGAATTGCCTTTGGAGACTCAGACACAGCCATAGCTCGGTGGCTATACCTTGCAGACCCAGGCCAAGGTTCTCCAGAAGGCTGCATGTGCTCTGAATCAGCACCCACTATATGGTACTGTTTCTCCTATAGCCAGGATTCACAGGTCCAGGAATCAAGGGGAGGTTCTGTGAGTGGCACCACTTACTACTCTACCTACTGACCCACTGGTAAAATTGTTGCTTCCTGCTTCTGCTTATGTTCTGCTGCATTAGAAGTCTCAGTTCAACAGGAGGAGAGCTTTCACCAGGAGACATGACGATGACTCCATGGAATAGGATGTTAAGGCTGCTACCTAGCTACTTTGAGCTCCTCATGACTCAATCAGCGGAAAAGACAGAAGTTACTGTGCTGACTTGAGTGGCTGATCCTGAATACCAAGGAGAAATTGGGCTTACTACTCCACAATGGAGGTGAGGAAGAGTATGCTTGAAGTGCCGGAGATGCCCTAGGTATCCTCTAATATTCCATGCCCAGCAATCAACATCAACAGGAAACTTCAGCAACCTAACCCGGCCATGGAGCCTAATGGCCCAGAAGCTTCAGAAAAGAAGGTCTGCATCATTCTACCAAGTAAAGAACCACAACCCACTGGGGTGATTACTGAGAGCAAAGAGAATTTGGAATCAGAAGAAGGTAGTTATAAGTACTCGCTATGATCATGTGACCAATTACAGAAATAAGGACTGCAATTGTCATGAGTACTTTCTCCTTATTCTGTTAGGAATATGTCACTCTGTGTGTATCTAGCAAACAAGTTGGTTTTTCCCCCCTCTCTTATTGGCTTAAACATAAACTATATTGGCTTCATATGTTGGTATTTAAGCATTGTTAACTCACATCATATACCTGGAGTCTGGGGATTTAAGGAGATGAGTAAAACTCATTCAAGGACTTTCACTTTTCTTCATGGGAAAACATTAAGGTATTTTTGGTGTACGCAGGACAGTGTGTTATGGTAGGTGGAACTATGACCTTATTCTTGTTTTTATTTGGAGGTTAAGTGTGGTGGTCTTAGGAAATGTGCATGGGTGCTGAATTAACAAGGAGGGATGTGTGGTGGCTAATTTTATCGTCAGCTGGACTAGGCCATGGGTGCCCAGTTTTGATCAAACATTAATCTGGATGCATTTGTGAGGATGACTGTGGATAAGCCCGGCATCTCTGTTGGTAGACTGAGTAAAGCAGGTTCCCCTTCCTATTGTGAGTAGGCCTCAGCCAAGCAGTAAAAGGCCTGAATAAGTAGACCTTCCCCCGAGTCAGAGAATCTTCCTGCCTGATGGCCTTTCTTCCAGCTGGGGCATCAGCTCTGCAGGTTGTGGACTTGTCAGGTTTCATAATCATATAAGCCAATTCCCTGTCTCTCTGTCTGTCTGTCTGTCTCCCATTGGTTCTGTTTCTTGGAGAATCTGACATAAACATGGGCACATGTAGAATAAATAGTACAGCAGAGTGATAGATCTGGGAGGAGCAGGTGGCTGAATGAGAAGATGAGAAGATTAATGAGGGGAAGGGAAGGGAAAAATACAAGCATATGCCATTTCCCAAACACAAGTTCTGCCTAGTTCTCTATGTAGACCCTATGGAATAAGTACATATATTAAAATCCAGATTTGAAGGGTGCACAGGGAATGGGGGCAAAATAATAAGAACCAAGATACATTATGTACAGGTACAAGCACCCAGTGATAAATGTCAACGTATTGTATACCTAAAATGTACCAATAAAAGAATTAAAAATAAATAAATAAAATAAAATCCAGATTTGGGGCCGGGATTTAGCTCAGTGGTGCCGTCGCCTGCCTCGAAAGTGCAAGGTCCTGAGTTTAATCTCCAGTACCAAAAAAAAAAAAAATTCAGATTTGTATGATAGGCAATGTGAGAAGCCATAATTCCCTTAGAAAAGAGGTTTGCAAGGATGCCATAAAGCTATCCATTGTCCTGGGCATTTGCTACAGGACTGTGTTAGCCCCACTAAAATCTGGTGCTTCGTTGTCACCAAGGCCTTTGGGAGTTTGGGAGCAGTCCCGCCTGGCCCCCTCTTACCTCGAAGGATGGTGACATTGCGAAGGATCTCTCCATGCTGAGTGTCCACAGCCTTCATCTCCTCCACGATCATGGAGAGGTTGCGGACATTGAAGTCCAGCCGGGCGCTGAGCAGGCTGAAGCGCTCCCGGAGCAGGTCAGTGGTACCCAGCATGAGGGAGACAGACTTGTTCAGGTAGTAGAGCTCCTCTGCATGGGAGTGGAAGCCCAGTGTGCAGGAGAGCCGCACGTCATCCAGGTACTTGAGCATGCTGTGCACGTGGTTGTCAGTGGCATTGATGTTGGTGAAGATGGTGCTGATTTCGATCTCATGAGAAGCCATGCGTCCTTCCAGGGACTCGAACCTCTCCACTGTGCGGTTCTGGGCATAGCGGGTGTGGTACTGGAGATCATGCATGTTCTCCTCATGGTCATCCAGGAAGGAGGAGATGTTATCCAGCTGCAGTTGCAAGCCCATGACCTGCAGCACCAGGTCGTGCATGCTTTCGGAATCCTGGCTGATGCGTTGTGAGGAGGCCCCCAGTGTGGCCTGGATGTTCTTCACCATTTCCCCAGTCTTGGCGGAGGTGGTACGGAGACTGCTGAAGAGCCGAGTGTAGTTCTGCCAGTCAGTGACCATCTTCTGGAGGGTGAGGGTTTCCTCGTCTGTCTTCCGCTGGATCCCATGGATCCACTCGGCAGTCTGCCCCACAGTGAAGTTCATCTGGTGCATGGCAGCCTTGACATCGTAGCACTCCTGGGTGAGGTCCTTCAGAGAGAGGTCCAGGCTGGCGGTCATGGCCTGCCAGCCCCTCACCTGTGCCAGGAACAGCCCCAGGGACTGGTTGACTTGGTGGATGGAGAAGGCACAAGTGCCCATCTCCTGGGAGATTTGACTGCTGGTGGTGGAGAGCAGCTCATGGGCCTGAGAAGTCTGGTCCAACTGGACCTCCTGGGCCAGAAGCATTTTTTGCAGCCCCTCCAGCTCCTCCTGCAGCTTTCTGATCTCTTGTCCCAGCTGCCCAGCCTCGTGGCAGAAAGAGCAGTTGTTCAGGGCTTTCAGGTCTTTAGGAGAAAGGGAAAACATTTTGATTTGCTGGTGAACTATGGGAGAATGATATTTCTTTCAATTAAACATTTCAGAGCCCCGTGAATGAACTGGCAAGTGGCTTCCTGGCCCACTTATTTTTCTGAGTCCTGCTATGAAATCCCTTCCTAGAAAATCTTTGGTAAACATCTTTACTGTGTGATCTGAAATGCAGACTTTAGACATATTCTCCACCCCACTACCACATTCTCAAGAATATATCTTAATAGCTCTTCTGAGGTAGCTGAGAACCTCCAATTTATACTTTATTTTAGAATTTCTCCAAATATGTTCACATCGGGCCGGGGATTTAGCTCAGTGGTTTTGCCACCTGCTGTGCAAGCTCAAGGAACCGAGTTTGATCCCCAGTACAAAAAAAAGAAACAACTTTCAAATATGTGCACATCTGTTATCATCGTTGATCTTCTCATCTCCCCTTATAGGGAAGGTGGTACAGGGATTTTCACCTTGTGACTCACAAGAAACAAGGCACAGAGAAGTGGTTTGCCAAATCACGCTCAGCTAGTTAGTGGCAGACCAGGACTTTCTATTTGCATCAGAGTGGATTACTTTTAAACCTTTCTATTATGGCTCCTCCTACCTCATTCTTTCCTAGAACGTTCCTGGTTAAAGCAGGAGATAAAAAGCATCACAAATTGAGTGAAGGGCTGATGCGTTAGGAAGCTTTTGGAAGGTCTTAAAATTCTTTTCTTCCATGAGGATATTTTGGCTTTCTTCTCTACCTGTAGACTCTGGCTATATCTACGCCTCACACAGAAACCCCTGCTCTGGTCCTAAGTGTCCACCAAGAAGTGGGCCTTTTTGAAGGGGTGGTACTCACTGGAGAGGGAAGCAGCTGTCCTTGTCACAATGCCAGAAAGCTGGTGAAGCCCCCGGGCTCCAGCGACATGCATGGAGGCCCTGCCCCACCCACATCTGGACACCAGTCACTCACCCAGTCCTTGAAGATTTTCCTGCATCGATACAAGCTTCTTGTTATAAATGGACTGGGCCAAGGAGATATCTTCTGAGAGAGAGTCTACCTTCCTAAAAACTGCAGGGAAAGACGAGAAACTGGGACAGAGTCTTGGTTCAGAGAAACAAACCTCAGTGCCCAGACTGTTTGTTGAGAAAGCATTTTTATCAGCCCTCTGGCACCAAACACCTTCTGCCTTCTCCTCAGAAGCTCCCCCAAAGTGGAAAGGGACGATGTTTCTAATGGCTAGAGTTTCCCACACCTTAAAAAAAATACACCTCCCACCCGAGGTTTTAGAAATTGGACCTGAACATAAGATAGAACAGGGGAAATACAGAAAAAGTATTCAAGATAAAGTAAAAAGTACTCTTAGTCTGACCACCAGAGATTGTTGCCATCAATATCTTTGGAATTTCTTCTAGTCATGATTAAGTTCATATCCATTCTGCATCTACAGATATACATACTTTTTTAGAAAACAAAAGAAAAATTGGGATGCTCTGAATAACTCATCTATTTTCTCTTCTTTGGCTTTATTTTGTGTCAAGGACATTGTTCCACCAAGGCCCAAATCATTTTAAAACCATTGCTTTTGATATCTGCATCATAGCTATATAAATGGTACGGCAGTGACATAAAAATCCCATGGGATTGGTGATACTTAGCGTGTCTCCTCTTCTGAGCTCATAAATAAAATCTGACATATAAACACGAGTAATTCTTGACCCTAGAAATAATTCATTTTACACGATGTTGGTGCATATGCGAGTGTTCTCTTAGGATAAACTGCTAGAATTACTGGGTCAAAGGATATTAGCATTTCTGAAGTTCTTGGTACAAGTTGTCAAATTGCCCTGAGAGAAAGCTCACAGGCCAGTTTGTACCATGGCAGCCTGGAGCCCCGCTGAAGGCATGGTGCTGGCCAGGGGAGGCCTCAGCTGCAGGACAGCTGGCTTTCTGCTGCAGGTGCTGCGGGGGACTGGTGGTGACAAGAGGGCAGAGATTGGAAGGAGGATCGGCAGGGACATTTCCCACAGAGCCTCTGGAGTCAAATGTGGGGGATGGAATTAGCACTGCCCAAAGAACCAGGTGACATAGCCTTGAGACCCAGGTTGGTATAAATTTGTTGGATGACTGTGTGAAAGTCAATTAAACTTTCCAGAGCTAATCTGATCTATAAGATGAAAATGTGAAGCCAGAAGAATTCTAAGGCTCTTGGCTCCAAAACTGTATGATTTCAAATTATTTGGACTCTCTGGGCTCCAGCTAACATTGTGTATCTCAGAGCTGTGGGGAGACTGACTTAATTAGCAACAGCAACATGTTGAGAGAGACGATGACTAATCACATTCCGTCATACGGGTTACCACTCTGAGGTCTATAACAGTTGTCGTTTTATTTGAGTCTCGTCTTAATTAAGAGCCAGTGTGTAGAAGGGGGAACAGATGTGAGAGGCCGAATGACTTCCACTCTTATCCTAGGCCTTCATGAAGTTCACTTCCAAGCCCACAGCCGAGACTCACTTCATATAACCCACCCTGTTCATTGTGCAGTCCACTTTGGAATTGCAAATTGCTTGTTTAGCCATTTTTCTTAGTCCGGAGACCTTGTTTTCTTCAAGTCAAGAATGTTGGCTACTGAATACCCTGATTCAGGGCCAGGACCAGGAGCCTCTCTTACGGAGATGCTCACTGTTGGGGAGGGCGCAGGGTGAGGACCACTCTGGCGCCTCCATCCCTCTCCCTTCTCCCAGCTCTAACATCCAGAAGATTGGAACAAACAGACCCACGGAAGCCTGGCATTTCAAAGTCTGAAGTGAGGAGCAAATGGGGTTGCAGCAATATATCACCTGCTTGCTCGAATCAGTGTGCTTTAACCGTGAGCACCCAGCAGGCGGGAGTCAACTAAACTTGGCCATATTCTGTCCTCCAGTTGCTACCATGGTGACAGAAACTTTAGGCTCCTGGGCCTCACCCGAAGGGCTTGGATTTCAGAGGTCTCCATGAGACCTGGAACTTTGCATTTTAATGCACAGTGGGGGTGACCTGGATGCAGAGGAGCGTCCAACCTCACTTTAAGAAACACACAGACCACAGAGGGGCTGAGAAGTCACCTGAGCTGGTTGTGATCTCAGGCCTGGATGCACAAGAGAATCATCTGCAGAGCGGGAGGACAGGGTCAATTCCTTTGCCCAGGTGGGGCCCGGACATCAATAGTTTTTAAAGTTCTCAAGGAATTCTCACTTGGAACTGAAACAGAACCACTGATCTCCTCCTATCGTCTCATTTTATTGTAGGGGGTCAGGAGTCCCGGTAGGGGGGCTGCCTCACTCAAGGCCACATGGCTAACTCTCGACCAGAAATTTGGAGCCAGTGTTCCCCGTGTGGATTAGTCATGAAGATTTCTAGCCAGGAAGATGCCAGTTCCGGGTTCTGGGTACAGGGAGTTTGGGACGGAGCCCTGAGCAGAGCCCCCTCTGCAGCCCGGGCTGGGGGAGATCCAGACTCACCCAGAGAGGCCAGCACAGCCACAGCCACCAGGAGCAGAGCCAGGAAGAGGTACAGAATCCTCACGGACGTGTGCAAAGACAGGTTCTTCTGGCAGCGGCTGCAGTGGGGTCCTGGCAGGCCTTTGGGGGCAGGAGAATGGCAGTTGTTTAGGCCAGAGGGCAAGGCTGGAGCTGAAAGGAGTTCTCCACCCTCATTCCCTACCCTTCTTACTGCCTTTCTCAGTCTTAAAGCTTTCTGGAGAGGAAGAGATAACCCCTAACGGGGTGTGGTGGTGCACACATGTGATCCCAGCATTCTGGAAGGCTGAGGCAGGATTGCAAGCCTAGCCCGGGCAACTTAGCAACTTACAGAGACTCTATTTCAAAATAAAAAAATAAAGGCTGGGGATTTAGCTCAGTGGTTCCGGCGCCTGCCTCACAAGCACAAGGTCCCGAGTTTGATCCCCAGTACGAAAAAAAATTTTTTTAATAAATAAAGTAAAATAAAATAAAACGTTCTGGGGATGTAGCTCAGTGGAAGGCCCTGGGTTCAATCCCCAGCACTGCCACACACACAGACACACACACCACACACACCACACACACCTCCCCGCCCCCATTACCATGGTCATTCCCACCATTCTGTCCCACAGGGTGGGGAAACCTCGCTTCTCTGCAGTGGCCCCACTGATCATCCAAGACATAGTCCTAGTTCACCCAAAACTTCCTAGACTTTATCCTGGGGACTTCTCAGCAGGGGCAAAGCAGGGCAGTTTGCAGAGATTCTGTGTTAAAACTCAAAGTCCCACACCCTGGGGGATCCCCTCAGGCAAACCAGAAGTCAGTCACCAGTCCCCAAACTGACCAGGTAACTATTTCCTGGACACCACGTGCATGGTTACAGTCCAGCAGTCAGGTCACCAGTATGGAGGGAGGAGGGAGCCGGCGTTCCTGGAAACTCTGGCGGGCACCAGTGGCCAACGGGAAAGCAGTGGTGACCCCGGCGGTAAAATTCCTTATGTGAACTCAGCCTCAGCTTCACAGGAGGAGCACCAGAAACAACTAAAACCCTGGTGCCCGGCTTACCCTCCAGACCAAAGTCTGCACACTGCTGAGGGTTGGTGTTGGCTCCACTGGGTGACTGCAACATACAATCAGGGCAGTAATCTATACCCTCTGCCACATGGTGGTTCAGGGCACATGGGACAATGAAGGGGACGGTAAGGGGAGCTAGAAGACAGGCCCCAGACACAGGTGTCTGGCTGGGGCAGAGGGCAGAGGTGCCCCCTGGACTGACTGCCCGGCAGACAGCTGGCAGCCTGTCAAAGATTGGGATCGCCTCACAGCACCGGCCAGGGCCACACAGCTCTGTCCTTCCCTCTTCCGGAGCTGCTGGGAAATGAGAGCCTGGAGTCTCACATGGTGGGACAAGTCTCTAACCAGCCTGGATATGGGCAGAGAGCTCTCAGCCCAGAAAGGAGGCAGGGGCGGCCCTGGAGTCCTTACCCTCCTGCGTGCCTGGGAAGGATGGCATGTCCTCGTCTTCGCCAGCCAGTTCCTCTTCGGTAACGCACAGTGCATCCCCGTCGCTGCCAGCCGACCTCACTGCGATGGAGCCAGTGCCGTCAGACTCGGGCTGCACCCTGAGCCGCATCTGACTCCCTCAAGCTGATCCACCACTGCCAGTCCCCCACCCCCTACCCACCCTGCCCCAGGTCTAAACCACCTCAGCTCCAGATGTCCAAGCTGAGAGAAGGGAGGCAGAGGTGAGACTTAGGTGACTGAGGGTGGGGATGTCCCACCCCTCTGGTAACATCTCCCCATCCCCGTGAGCTGAGAGAGACACTCAGGCCAGCTCAGCGCGCTATTCTATCTGCATCTCTCTCAGGCCCCTGGGGGAAGAGCTGATTGGTTGATCTGGGTCAGTGTCCTCTCCTCCAGAGATGAGGCAGAAGTGGGTCCAGCACAGTCCCCGCCGAGATTCTGCATCCAGCTAGGGGGAGGCGTGAAGAGGAGGAAGTGGGACATGGATTCAAGATGGGCAGAGACCCCTGCCCTACACACCTCATTCTGGACCCAGCAGGTGTCAAAGGGACCATGGGAGGAGGCCAGGGAGGCGCTTCTTCCGTGTGCTCACGTGGTCCCTAAGTGAGACCTAAATGACAGGCATTTCCTCATTTAGAAGACTCCTTCCCAGACCCCTCACACTTCCTCCTCCGGGTAAGGCCTGGCCTCTTAGGAACACTGGGAAGAAAGATGCCTAAGACGGGGCAGAAGGAGCCAGATTGTGCCGGGGATTTAGCTCAGTGGTTTTGCCGCCTGCTGCGCAAGCGCAAGGACCCGAGTTCGATCTCCGGTACCAAAAAAAAAAGGAAGGAGCCAGGTTCCCAAAGGGGTATTTGAGAAATGGAGGAGATGACCTACTCTGACCTAACCCTGGCTCTTTTCCTGGGAAGTGGGGATGAAAGCTGATGATGAAACCTAACTCGCTTGGGAGATGTCTATAGAGGGCATTTGTCAAACTACACCTCCAAATCTGAGGGTAATAAAAGCTCAGTAGATTTAACTACATAGCAGTAAAATAAAAATATCTTTACATGGAATAAAACCCACCATACGCACAATTAAAAGGCAAATGACAAGCCAGGCAAAAATATTCACAACATATACCACAGGCAAAGAACTACTGTACCAAATTTATAAAGAGCTTTTTAAAAATAAGAGAAATAAAGGACGAAAAATGCAATAGAAAAATTTGTCAAAGATCTGCACAATTTATGAAAAGATATATAAGATGACCCTTAAACAAATGAAAAGATGTTCGACTTTGTGGATAGAGTAAATGCAATTTGAAGCCACATGGTGATGCAGTTTCTTACTCATCAGGATGGCAACAAGCAGGTGCCTGATAGTAAAACACATTAGCAACACAGCACTGCCGGTGAGGATGCTCGAGGTTGGGGAAGAGGTCGCAAAGTGGCCATGGCTTCTGGGGGGGAATTTGATACACGCATTTACGCTGTGACCCTGTGACTGTTCTTCTATGATTTATCCAGAACATACACGTCTAAATCCCTCTTCCCCTCAAAATAAGACCTAGCTGAAAAATGATCAACCTTGAAAACTAGAGATCAAAAAGCAGCCCCATCAATCTATTCTTGCCTTACCTGCTTTCGGAGTAGCCACCACAAGAGAATAGGGATGGCAGCAACTAATAGTGATTAATCCTCTGATGAGTTTATAGCTAAAGGCGCTGTTGGAAGGTGAGACCTGTTTGGAGAACGTGGCCTGGAAGGGTCTATCTCCTTCCCACCTCTCTTGATCTCTTTCCTTCAGCTTTCTGCTGCCATGCCTTAAGCAAGCCTACTATGGACTAAACGCTCCACAGACTGTGAGCCAAAGTAAACCTTTCTTCCTTTAAGTTGTGGGTGTTGCATACTGTGCTCCAGCAACAAGAAAGTAACTAAGACAAAATGGATTAGGTAAAAGAGGGACCTGGAACATCTCATTTTTCCAGAAATCAAGGAAGTGCTAAAACAAAAACAAAAGAAAAGGAAGGAAAGAAGGGAGGAACAGGAAAAATGAACTATCACAAGGAGCACAAAAAGTAGCTGAAGATGTCGCTACTGGACAAATCTGGAACTATTTCCGTACTAAAATACTTAGGTATGTGTTCGGGTTTAGATCTAAAGTGTTCCTCCAAAGTCTCATGTGTTCAGAGGTGGGACTTTCTGATTAGATCATGATCACTAACCTTATCAATGAATTAATCCATTGATAAGTTCATAGCTGAAAGGGCCGTTATGCAATGAGGCCCAGGCAGGGGAAATAGGTCACTGGGGTGTGCTTTGGAAGGATGTATCTTGTCCCCAGCCTTCTCATCTCTGCTTCCTGGTTGCTATGAGATAAGCAGCTTTCCTCTGCTATGCCTTTCTATCAGGATGCTCCTGCCTAAGAAACAGATCACCATGGACTGAACCCTCTGAAACTGTGAGCTGAAATAAACCTTTCTTCTTTTAAGCTGTGTATGTCAGGTATTTTGTCTCAGTGATGGAAAGGTTACTCACACAGTATAATAACACAATTATAACTCATAAAGTAAGAAACCATGAACTCATACTCATAGAGACAGATCGATAGGGAGAAAGGACAGCTCTTTCTTGCAGTAGGGCTGGAGTTCTAGTACCACTGGAGTCAGCATGTTGTCATCATGGTAGAGGACTGGGTCCGGCAAGACTCATCGGTAGATATTGTCTTTAAAGGTCTTAAGGAAAAGTCATTTTGACGAGGACACTGATTCCTTGTGAGTTGCAAGGGAGGGGAAAAACACTCAGTGCTTATCCACTGGGAAGATCAGAAAGCACCTTGACTAGGAGGTCCAAAGTAAAATCACCTAGGAAGGACATGTGGGCATCATGGGAAGCAGCCACCATCACCTAGGTATTTTATCAACCAACAATGCAAAAGGGAAGAGAAGAAAACACAATGATCATCCTATTTTTGAAAAGTCAGCTAGTCAAAACTGTCATAGTCATAAAACACAATAAAAAGGGAAAGAAACACGATAGCCAAATGCAGTACCTAAGCACAAACTGGATCCTGTGCTGGAAGGAGAAGGAAACCCTTAGAGGACAATATTCAGTCAACTGAGAATATTGGGGTATGAACAGTTGATTAGACAAAGTATCAAAGTAAATTCATGAAATTCTTCACTATTTCTGATTATATTCTATTCTTAGGAAATACATGATCGAGTCTTTAGGGATAAAGGATCATAATATATAATATTTGTGGTTATGCTTATATGCTTTAGAAAAATTGTGTGGATATGCATATATGTGTGTGCTTGAATAACACTTCAGTGTTATTGCAGCAAAAATCTTCAGACATACATGATTTTCTTAAGACAGCTTCTTAAAAATGAATACAGTAGATTGGATTTTAAGAACATCTTAATGTTCTGCTTAATTAATAAGTTACCATCAAGAAGGGTACAAATTATATTTCAACTCACATATCATATAAATATACACAGATCTATTAGTCCACCCCAATGAGTATTAACATAAAAATACACTTTTGAGTTTAACTCAGAAGATCTCCATATTTTATCCTGTGCACTTAAAACTCCCTGAAAGGCTGGGGTGTTGCTCAGTAGTAGAGTATGCAGTTAGCATGCAGGAGGCCCTGGGTTCAATCCCCAGCACCAAAACTAAACCAAACCAAACAGCAACGAAACATGATTAGCGAGACTCCAGCCTCTGCCTGGAGTCCTTGGAGATAGGAGGGTTCCTGGTCAGCTCTCTGGCAGATGTATCTTCTCTCCTAGCCTCTTGCTCTACCCTGCCCTAATTTTCCCAAGAGCAGAGTAGCTGGCATGCAAGTCCAAATCTTTACCAGTAGAGATGGCGAGGCATTGAGCAATGTATGGGAGGGTTGTGACCAATCAGAAGGGACTGGGGCCATCCCAGTGTGGGACAGTGTGGGTGTGAGAGCAGCCCGGGAGGGGCACCTTCCAGGGTCCGGGCCTACGGTGAGTCCTTGGTCCAGGTGCTCTGCTGGTACCACTGGTGGCCTTGACTCCCTTCCTCACCATCAGCTCATGCATCCAAGATTCGATGCTCCTGACCCGGCTCTCTATTTATTCCCCTATATGGCTTCAACTCCTAATTTAATTGTATATTTTTGTTTGTTTTATTTGGTTCTTGGGGATTTTCCTTATTTTCTTTCAACTTAAGCAACGCATTTAGCAGAATGTTTGTCATTTATCTAATACCTAAATTTTACAGCTTAAGACTGTTTCTAGGTCTATAACGCTAAAAGCAGAAGCGCTAAGTTTGCTTTTCTCTGTTTCCAATTTTAAAAAATGTAATGAAGTGCTGGGTCTTGCCTCAAGACTGTCTTCACAACAACTCTATAAACTTCATGACTCTAAAGAATCACTTTTGTGGACAAAGAGACTGAGGCTCAAAGACATTAGGAAGGTTGCTTAATAGCACACAGAATATAAGTGGGGAAGCCAAGAATTGAGCTCAGAAACCTTCCCAGCATACCTACTGCCACTCAAGGTAAGGAGCAAACGTTCTAGAGTGCCGAGAAATCCTGATTCTGCACCCACAAGGTGAATCAGTAGAAAGGAGGGGCAGGCCCATGACCTGTGTGTGGAGCATCCAGGGCACTGACAATAACCAATGACCACCTTGGGCTGCATCCCAGGATTCCTCAGCACCTGCAGCCTCATTCCCCAGACGCTGCACTGTGACCAGGGTCATCAACCCGGGAGCCAAGATGGAGCTGGCGAGAACACTGGATGGGCAAAGGCTGCCCTGAATGGACCTTGTGGGGAAGGAACAAAGGAAGACACCAGATTAAAGATGCCACCCTGACTGCTGTCAGTGCCCTCTGCTCAGCCTCTAGCTCACAGCTCAGATGTCAGTCCTGCAGCAGCATCTTCCTTGAGCTCCCAGCCTTAGAGAGTTCACTGCTGCCCGCACTCCCTGTGTGTGCTCTGTGACTCGCTCCGTCATGGACTGTGGGGGCTTTTCCTTATTTCTCTGGCTGCACATGTGTGGACGTTTGAGGGCAGAGACTGCTTCCCTCTTGTT